CTCCCACTACCCCCGAGCGATATTTTCCGTCTACACTCTGAGGCTATCTCTAGATACTCCTCCCGTACTACCAAGACCGCTCTTGGAACTTAACACGTTCAGTGGGCTCTCGTCGTAGCACACCTCTCTGTCTCTCCACTCCTTTCGCCACATGTTCGGCATCAGAGGAGCGGGGAGGGGGGGGGGAGATATGTAGCTCAGTCGCAGTCGGAGGTCATTTGGCTTATGTTACGATTCCCGGAAGACATTCGCTGACCCTTCTTTATAAGGTTGAGAGCAAATAATCGTTCAAAAATGCCACGCTGATTTTAGACTTTTTGTTATAGCTTTTGGGGGGGGGGGGGGGGGGCAGATGTATATCAAGATATATCTGTTAATAGTGGAAGATTATTTTGTGTTGGGTACGAAGGGAGCTAAATGGGCATATCTGTAAGTGGGTCTCTACCTTACAACATCCAAGTAGCAATGGAGTTTAATACATTCCACAGTTCCTTATCCACAGAAAACACACTGGATATTCACACACGATTAGACAATAGATCAATCAATTAATAATCAATCTGTATATTTCACCAATATTACTGGTGATACTGTCATATATTGTCATAGCCTCCGGGCTCCTCACAATTAATGAATTATGAACCATTTAGTCGCCGGATACCAGTCGGGAAGAGCGATATCCCATGACTCCACTTCCAGGTCGGGGGTGCATCACATCCACACCTACACCTCCCTGGAGGTGACGCTACCAGTCCCCCGCTCCGATACCTTTTGCACCGGGGGTGGGGTCACGTACCTTCGATATCAATCTTCATAAAAGTCGGCCCACGGTAGTGTCGTTCTCGACGTGTAAACCCCCCCCCCCCCCAATTCCACGACGCAGTGGCATTCCTCACCCCACTGCATGCCCCCACCGCCAACCGTATAGGATCTCACAGGTGCATCGAATTAAACGTCCCAGCAGCTGTTCTGATAGCTCCATCCGGGGCTGTCCCATAACAACCAAGCTCAATAAGCCCCGGTAGTTCTAGCGCCACCACCGGTGAAAGCGCTCCCCGTTCCGTCATAAACACCCGTACCAGTGTCAGCCGCTGTGGAGGTCGACCAGTCAGTACTAGCATCGGCGACTGTTGTCCATGACGTTCTCGGTCAGGATGCTTGGGGGGCGGTCCGTACCACGGCGTTGTAACTGTGCGATACCTCCGTCGTCTCTGAGGCTCGCTCGTAGATTTCGGCAGAAAGGAAAGAACGGATGGCAGTTGCGGGATAAAGAGGCTGTGTTTCGAGGCGTATGGATGAGGGGTGTAGTATTCGTATAACTATGCCTCGAGATGGCTGACTGTCGGGAGATAGAAAACCGTTGGTGATGAAACTGCGTGGTGGGACCAAATGCACTTACCCGCATCCACCATCTCCTGAAGCGTAAAAAAGACCGCCTCTCGCTCCATAGAATGGCGTCACCGCATCCCGCGTAAAAATACCACCCCTCCAACCTCCCCGCACTGCTCCTGCCCTCATTCTTTCCTAACCATCTGGTACCGTAGTCTTTCGACTGAATCTAGCCGCCACTGCGTCTACTGCCACCATCCATCCATCCACCATGGACGCGCAGCGGAGAGTGGTGCAGCGGCCGTGAGAGACCGTGCCGATACCCCACTGTCTTCATCGTCGCCCAAGGTTCGTCCCCCACGGGTCCCCAGCTGGCGGCGCTACGACAACGCTCATTATCAGGGGCTACTGGTTCGTGTTCTCTACCGACCCCGGCGAAGAGTTCGAGGCCATGCGCGCGATGATGCGAATGAGAGGGCGCTGGGTGTGGTGCTGAGGGTTGTTGTCTAAAGGTGGTGATGTCAGACTGGTAGCGGGATAGAGAGTGGCGGGTGGAGGGTGGAGAGGTATAGAGGTGTAGGGTGGAGGGCTAGAGGGGCGAGAGGTGGAGAATGAAATGGTGAGAGTGGGAGCTGTAGTTGCTTTCCGTGGGTTTCGTTTTGCACTTTGCCGAGATTGAGGCTCTTTGGGTTGCCGAGGCTTGGCAGTAGGAATATATGCTAGTACATAGTAGGAGTCTCGGCGCTGAGAATACCAAACTTCAGACCAAAAAAACAATCTTCCCTTGGGTGCTAGCGGACTTCATAAGAAAATAGCTCTGTTTCAATAAGCCAACAATCCACTGGAGATACGATAGAGGAGAAATACTTGAGGATTGAAGGTTCTACACTGTCTATTTCTGATAAAGTGACATGTCAGCTGCAATGGCAGACGCAGGCTTGGCTGCATGGATTTCCTTTTCGTTTTCGAATCGGTTTCTACGAGAGCGAGGTGTGGGCTCAGATTCCGATATGAGCTGAACAACCTAATGCTTGTGCAGATTGCCTTGCATGATCTTCCATCTTTGCCGCAGAATCGCAGCTCGGACGTACAGGGTGTTCACGTCCTAATCTGCAATTTCCATTGGATTAGAAGTCAAAAATACACCAAAAACTTGCAGCTGCATATTCGGGTACTTCATGCCTGTCGCGAGTACATACAGCAGACGGGTGCGATGTAGGGTTATTGGATTATTTAGCGAGAGCACACCAATAATTAATCAGACGTGGACGGGCTCCCGGGGGTGCGGTTCTCACGACCGCGTTAGGTGAGGGTATTAGAGTCTTTTAGCCACCGACCGTAGAAAAGTCCCAAGAAATGAGAAGTTCCAAGACCACTCTGCGTGTAGGTTGCATGTGATATGTCATTTTTAATCGCAAGACTTAGAAGTACGCTTGAAGACATTCTGAGTCCCCAATATTGAGGATTGCCCTGTCAAGGTAGAGTATTCCTAATCCCATGCGGGCCAAGTCCCTCTAACGCATGCACAATGGTCTTGGGTCTTTTTATTTCTTGGGACTTTCCATTTGGACTTTTCTACGGTCGGTGGCTAAAAGATTTTATTTAGTTGTCGTTCGCGGATTAGTTTACAGCCGTTTTCATAAAACTTGGCCGCGTCAATCTTTCACACATATACGGTGCGATCTGAAAAACCTTAAATTGATTACCTACTTGAGCAATCCGGATAGCCTTGTTAGGGAACCCTTTTGAAAGTTTAATTCCAGATACTTGTTTAGGCAATATAAATTGCCTGTCTAGGGAATCGGTTATAATGTGTGTGAAAAGTTGACGCGGCCAAGTTTTATGAAAACGGCTGTAATTACCCACGTAAGCGCGTCTACTCTGCCGGGCTCCCAAGGGCGAACCGCATAGTACTCAGCCTAATTGTATGTCCGAACTGCAAGTTTGCAGTAATGTATGCCGCAAAAACCCGACAATAACGAACGGGGCCGGATTGGAATACTGCACTTTCACTGGGAAATTCAATCTTTCGGCGGTCGGGATTGAGACTCAACGCTCATTTGACACATCAGAATGCAAGAAATGTCTTACGATCTCAGCCCAGCCCCGTTCGTTATTGTCAAGTTTGTGAGGCAGCCTTGGTGTCTCAAAGCACATTGCTGGCACCGGAGTGGTTTGTTCTGGGTGACTAGCGTCCTTGACTGCGGAGTCGGGAGCATTTCCGCTTTGTTGCGATGCCCAAACTCGATAAGTACTCTAATTATTGGTTGTTGTAAAATAACCGGAAATTTGCGCTGTAATTAAGGTTTGCATAGGAATGCAACTTCAACGTCGCCTTACATCACAACCATAACAGGAATAAGACAAGAGATTTCATTTCGGTAATCCTCTATACCGCAAAATCTCAGTTCGTTCGCACGGTTGCCAACAGGACGGCTTTGCAGAGGAGCTGAAAAATATCACCCTTAAAGGAAGAGATCAGAGCCTTTTACAGCCAACACCGCTCTTGGCAACCGTCCGAACGAACTGAGATTTTGCGGCAGTTGTATTGTCTAGGATTTTGATACGGGCCCAAGGGTGGCACTTTCAAAATTTGGTAGCTGTAGGCCATTTGCTTGGTTGAGAAGCTCGTTTCCGGTTAATTTTGACAACCCCACAATATCATGCATGTTCGGCGGGCCGTTTAAATTTGCACTGGCGTAACAGATATTTCTAACAATAAAATCGCCGAACGAGCCCTCGGGGTGCCATGATAGAACGTTTCCGTCGAGAAGGGCAAATATGTCAATACGGAGAGAGGTTTGTTCCGCTCTCGCCAGTGAATGTGGCAATGTGTTGTTGTTTTTGCCGAGTGTCCAAGCATAGATATCTTAATCACTGGTCAGAACACGTTGCCTTAATATATTGTGGACACATACACTGTATGAGGAGACTCGAGCTGAGATCTTTCCAGCTCCATTAGTTCTAATCCGACAGACACTTCCATTATCAATCTGACTCATCATCTATCGAATATTCTCCTGCAGTGCCGGGACGGGGTGGTTATCCGCTTCCGCATATGTAGATCAATGAATGACAAGGCTTGCATTCTGTGGGTACTCAATTTCACTCTTCGATTAGCTTGCTCCGAACATTTGTAGCGGATATAAGTAAATTCTCACCTGAGGCTGATCTCTTCCCTACAGCTAATCATCAGGGGAATAATCCCTGCACGAGTCCTGCAGTACTGTGCATGTATGATCACAAATCAGATCTGCGCATGGCGTGCGCAGATGGTGATTTGGCAAGAAATCTCCACCATGGATCATCCCACAGAGTAGGCCGTGCCAACGGATAGATGGTTCCGGTATTATAAGAACCTACAGTCTCGTAGCGGTTTTGAAAGCTTTCTTTAGCATCCTATCCAAATATTCTTCTACCGTCGAATTCGAACACCGTCGTATCAGTGTCCCTACCGGACCTAAGTGCTTTAGTTTTCGGAACTGTCTCCACGAGTGGTAAGTGAGCAAGCCCACGAGAGAAGAAGGCACCCCGCCCGACTCATCTACACGAGAGATCTAATATAAAGTAGATCGGACATCTTATCCCCTATATTGCAACTATCAGATACTTAAAGTTCTTACTCCGCCGCTGGAACCCAAACCTAACGAGAAACTCCTTCCAACCTGAATATGTCTTGTGCCGAGCAACGGGTAAGGAGCACTCCGCGTTGGCGTTTTCCGTTGCAGCCTCCGGAATCTTGCTGATACATATCAATTACTTATTTAAGAGCACCCAAGGCCCCACGTCTGCAATCGAATCAGACAACGAACATGAATCGGACCAGAGTGAGCTCGAGAAGTACCTAGTATGTGCAGCCGAGAAGGGTGACTTGGAGGAGGTCAAACGCCTTGTGAAAGCTGGAGCGGACGTGATGGGGCGCTACTTCCCACCGCTAGGGACTTCGATATGTCACGGATTAGAAATCCTAAAAATATTTAACGACCGACCGCGAGCATTAGTCCGTTTGATTCATTATTTCGGCACGCGAGAGACTGAAAGAGGCGTACAAGAACTCGGCTGGACCCCTCTGCAGGCTGCTTCAGCTGGGGGTCACCTTAGCACTGTGCAGTTCTTAATAGACTCTGGTGGTGATGTCAATGACCCAGCAGGTACCGCCGCCGGTCGGACTGCGTTGCTGTGGGCCGCTGGAACTAACAACCTGGAGCTTATGCAACTGTTACTTGATCAGGGAGCAAAGATCAATGTGCCAGCCGCGCGGTTAGGGAGTGTTACCGCTCTGCAGATGGCAGCAGAGCGTGGGTGTGAAGAAACTGTAGATCTACTTTTGCGCAGGGGCGCAGACATAAATCAAATCGCTGGGAAGAATTTCGGGAGAACAGCCCTGCAGGCTGCATGTAGTCAAGGTCAGCTACGTATGGTTCAACATCTTCTTGATCGTGGCGCACTTATTAATAACTCCTCATCGGAGTCTTCTGGCCTGACGGCATTATCAGCGGCAGCGGGAGAAGGCCATCTGGATATTTTTAAGGCTTTAATCAAGAAAGGCGCCGATGTCAATGAGAAGTTGCAGAATACACGGGACCAGACGGCACTACAGGCGGCCGCAAGGAAAGGGCATTTGGAGATTGTGAAGCTTCTTCTCGAGCACGGAGCTGAAGTCAACGACGATGTTGGAAATGTTGATGGAAGGTCGGCATTGCAGTCGGCTGTCGAGCAAGGAAACAAAGATATGGTCAAATTACTCATCGCCCGAAACGCAAATGTCAATGAGATTGCAGGGTATCAAAACGGTACGTCTGCATTGCAGGCTGCTGCTGCGAGCGGAAACATCCAGATGGTAGAGCTTTTGCTCGCTGCCGGTGCGATTGTAAATCAAAGTGCAGGAGATAACAATGGCAGAACTCCGTTGCAGGCGGCCGCGGAGAAAGGGCACCTTGATATCGTCAAACTACTTATTGCCCGGGGCGCAAGTACCAACGAGACCCCTTCGCCCACCAGTGGCCGAACCTCATTACAAGCGGCGGCGAGTAAGGGACATATGGAGATTGCCCGCTTGCTTATCGACAATCGTGCGGAGATCAACGCGCAAGCACCCGCTGACGCGTTCACCGCATTGCAAGCGGCGGCATCTGAAGGCCACCAAGACATGGTGCGCTGGTTAGTGTCGCTTGGGGCGGATGTTAACGCGCCTGGAGCAGAAGGAGAAGGACGAACAGCATTGCAGGCAGCGGCGGAGCATGGCCATGTAGAGATTGCTCGCTTTCTTCTCGAGGAAGGTGCTGAGGTCAACGCGAAGGCATCGGCGAGTTATAAGGGCGTAACGGCGTTACAAGCAGCGGCCCTGGGAGGACACATCGATGTAGTCAAGATACTTCTCGGCGCCCCTGGAGTCAGTGTAAACGAACCATTGGAATACCAAGACGCTCAAACTCCATTGCAGGCGGCAGCGAAAAGTGGGAATATTGATATTGCGAAGTGCCTACACGCTTCTGGTGCGGATATAAACGCAAAGCCTGCGAAAGACGGCGGTCAAACAGCGTTACAAGCGGCGGCAGAGCAAGGTCATCAAGAAATGGTGCGATGGCTTCTGACACTGAAGGCGGACATCCATGCAAAGGGTGCAGAATGGCGTGGGGTAACCGCTATTGAAGCGGCAGTGCGTGGGGGGCATAAGGAGATTGTTGCGATGCTTGTATCGGGATCCGGAGGAGTAAGCATGTCACTAGCGTTCGGTCTAGCTGCCAAACAAGGGGATCTACATCTCATCAAAATGCTACACTCGAAAGGCGCAAATGTCGACGGAGTAACTGAGGGAGAGGAACGAGATGATTCCAAATCCAATAGCCCACTGCAAGCGGCGGCGACACGCGGGGCTTACGACGTGATTCGGTTCCTCCTAGACAACAAAGCCGACATTAATGTGCCAGCATTAAGAGATGGAAGGACAGTATTACAAACGGCTTCGGCGCGTGGGCATCTACAAATTGTTAAATACTTGTTGTCAAAGGGGGGCGATGTCAATGCGGTTGCATCAGAGACCGGTGGGAGGACAGCATTACAAGGGGCTGCGGAGGGCGGGCATCTCGATGTTGTCGAATATTTACTGTCAAAGCAGGCGGATGTCAATGCAGTAGCTGCAGATGTTGATGGCAGAACAGCGCTCCAGGCAGCGTTGGAGAACAACCACCGTGAAGTTGTGTTACGCCTCCTCAAGGCAGATGCCAATGTTTACGACACTATAGGTGACAATGGACAAAGCGCACTACACAGATTATGCGACGACGAAAATCTGGGTCTATTTCGTGCGTTGGTAGAGACATGTGCGGAGGAGACTTTGAACTTGAAGGACTTCTCAGGATCTACCGCGCTCCACCTCGCAGTCGAGGGTAATCATATAGAGATTATAAAATGCCTCCTCGATATTCAACACTTAGACATGGAGATATGCGACATACTGGGCAACACACCTCTCAGAATTGCGATAGAAAAAAGCCATAAAGGAACTGCAAAGCTTTTGCTCACTAAAGGAGCAAGAACCGACGGACTTACACTTAAGCAGCTGCACGTGGTTGCACATATCCTCGAAGATAAACATACAGCGCCCATGGGAAATATGAATGACGATCAGCATTTTATACTACTCTGTCACAACCATAGTAATGGCACGCACGTTAAAACAACCTCCCGCGAGATGTTTAATGTTGATGAGTGGGAAAGGAATCCGAAAACATCCATCCTCTTTCCTAGGTAGGATAGTCACCCTTTTTCCATACGATGGATAGTGTGGAAAAGATATAAGCTGATTGATACTGGTGTGAAGCTCGTATCTACAGCGTGAGGACTCTGAGATTTATAAGAGCTTTGTAAAACCGAGTTCTTTCGTTTTCAAGGTAGAATACCCGGACATACCGGAGGAGGGATCTTTGATCAAGTGGGCCTGGGCTCCATTTATCAAGAGGTTGCAGTCTGGTGTAGAACTACATCCGTTCCGAATCGGAGTCCCAACCAATCAGGATATGAAATCGGGAGGTAAGAGTCCACGCTAGCAGCGGTAGCCGCTATGGGATAGTATATTGATTGAGAATCCTAGTTTTCTTTGTTCCATATATTCGTTTGGATTGGCCTCGCATATACGTTAAGGCTCCGCCTCTCTCCATACGTGATACTGCAGCGCCAGGCAACACTAGCCCCGACGTCAAAGGATTTACTTCCAACGAACGCATGATCGAAATTTCGTGGATAATGGCCAAGCGAAGTCGTAATGAGAAGGAACTAGCCAGCACAATGCAGACTATCTACTATAGAGGAAACCTTACCTGGAAAGCTCCCTCTATTCCTGGGAGTGCAGCGGAGTTTGTAGTATGGTTTCTAGTTGATGTCTGCGATCATTGGACTGCGTTGTTAGACAAAGCGGCGCAGCAGCTTGTTAAAATAGTGAGTTATGAGACTCACAATACACCATTCTCAGCTTCACCCCAGTTTACTAACTATTTTCAGCGTGATTTTCAATTAGCTGCTGAGGGAAGAAATCCAGACGTAATCAAATCTCTACTAACACACAGTCGTGAATGGTATAAGCTTCGAGAAACGCTGCGTAAGCATGTTACGCAAGCCAGCGATCTCTTAAAGCAGTTCAAGGAAAGGGAAGCATTATTTGGTGAGTTGATATCAACCATCAAAAAGCCGAAAAAAGACCAATTTGATAAAACCCATAATACAAAAATGCTTCATGGAGCACTTTTATCTCCCGCCGCCATACCGCAAGATTATGATTTAGTTGCGACGGAGAATGAGAGATTATTTGAGACCTGCGTGCCCGAGCCTGGCATGGTAACTCATGCGGCTGCACAGGTGATTACAAGGAATGCCAAGAACCTACAGCACATCATAGTACCTCGACCTCGAACTCCTAGATTACCTCCACCATCTCCTAGGGTGGATCAGGCTGGCCAACCTGCGGAGCTTGGAGCTCTTGAAAAAATCTGGGAATTAGAGAAAAGGGTCGATTTTCTGAAGAAGGATTGTGAAAATCGTTTGTCAGACCTCGATAAAGAAACAAAGGAGATGATCGAGCTTGTGAGTTGCATCGACCATGCCCCTGCTTATACAACCATTCCGGCGATACCTAACATGTAATATAATCCAGGAGTTTAATCTCGTCTCTATATACGAAGCAAGGAAGTCAGTAAAGATGTCAGAGAGCATGAAACGTCTCAGTTGGATCACGGTGAGTTTAACCATGCGAGTACGGGTACCTACACTGACAATGTACGAAGTTTATTTTTCTCCCTTTGATGTTTGTAGCTGTAAGTATTAAGTAACGCCAAACCATGGGGCGAGAATCTCACTGACTCGACTGACGAGATATAGGGTTTGTTCGGAATGAACGTGGATGTTCTCGAAGTCAATCCTTCATGGAAATGGTATCCAATCTCAGCAGCGCCTTTTATGGCTTTTGTCATGTTAGCGTGGTTCTTATTTAAATGCACATCTGTCAGTGTGCCCCATTTCCCCAAAATAAGAGGAAAACTGACCGAAGCATTAGATTCCGAAATTCTACAAGTGGCACAAGACGAGAGACCCTGCATCAGTTACTCGTAATCCTAGGGACTTCTTTGGAAGGATGAGGAAATGGAAGCGGGACGAGGAGATGGGTTATGGGACGAAGGAACATAACGACTAATGCTACTCTTTGGGAGGTGAACTTGTCATACCTCTTTTGGAATATCCTCTTCTCCCCTCCGGCGTAAACATAACGAGGAGATCTGTCTACACCGGGTTTTTTTTACTTGTATGGCTTTATATATTTCAAATAGAGAGCTGTTCTCTTTTAACTGCTAAATAACTCTCATCATCTCCGCCATACTGTTCTCTCTTCGCGTCCATCCTTAGCCGTTATATGGCTCATAACTTATTCCTGTCTATCCCAGATTCCATGTCCCAACCTGCCAGGCATAACCATACTCTCTAAAGCACCCCACATACCTCGTAACCGTGCACTCTCTATCCCTCCCACAACTTAAATAACCTCATTGCGGAGGAGTCGTCACAGGTCACACATCGTTTGTGGTCTTGCTGGGGATTAAGGCCCGGTTGGTGTGATTGGTGGTGTGATTGGTGGTCACCTCCGAGACATGGATTATCCCTCGGTCTCTTGGCAGGTGTGGTTCGGAGGGAGGGTATAGGTGCTGTTTTGCGCTGCTGCTGCTGTCATCGTTAGGATCTGGCGGGTACAGAAAAGGTGGCATAGCGTTGGCGGGGATTATGAAGGCCACCTATCTACATATATATTCTCTCAATACTAACAGATTCGGACTCATGAACAGATATCGTGGTATAAAATAGGTAGAGCACAAGTCGACGCAGAAATCCCCCAAGAAGAGACATGGAATGTCACTCGGATACTGTTTATCACCCGGCTTGTCAGCTTATTCCGGTCTTGGCATGGTGCAGGTCCGGGGGGTGTGCGAACGGCTATATGCTTGAGGACTTATAGGGGTACGGTATTGATCATCGCATGCGATGGATTATGGTTTCGCTATGTGGTGGCATGGTCGATTGTTGATGCCACGGGTGTAAGTTTAAGGTTGACAGTAGAAGGATTTGTTTCTGTTTTTTTTTTTTTTTTTTTTTCGCGATTGTTACGTACTAGGCGCTTTACTATCAGAAGAAGACTACAAACTCCAACTACCACACACCCGATATAATATCATGTTACAGCCTTGCGCTGTCAAGACTACAGTATGTAAGTACTTCGGCGATGTCGTGAGTTGGTGCTAATCTCAATTCGGCTTGGCATGATCTTGACCAACTAATAACAACAAAGCCAGCCGAACCGATAAATGGTACGACCACGACCACGAGTGGTGGAGAACTAAACGCTGCTGTGCCCGCATACCTACGTTTCCTCCCCCGTCCTGTCGCGTCGGGCATGTTTCCTCTGTAGCCCATTCTATGTATTACTAAGCGCCAAGAGCCGAGCACCAAAACGTCTGACTCGAGACGAAGTTGGTGATTCCGATTCGTTGGCCCTACTATACTACCTACGGCCGCTGGATGCTAAAATGCAAGAATAGAACACCAAAACTCACCGCAATAATGTCTCGAAGACGATAACGTCAGTAGCGTCAGAGGTTGTCAGGATGCACTAGTACCAATAGGGCTAGGCGTTCACTCGAATGATTTACCGGGGTTAGGGTTATCTATACTCAATTACGTATGTGTCCGGAGTGGTGGGGGAAGGTTCGCTGTTCCGATATGCTCCCAAGCGTTTGGAAGACTTTGGTTAAGGTAGCATATTGGTGTGCAGAATGATTTCGGTGATGAGGGGGGCTGGGTTTGTGGCCGGGGGCGGGGTTCGGTGGTCAGAAGGACGTACCTGGTCACCAATGGGGTGTGCCTTATGTCTTCACTCCTCACTTATATTTGCAATGTAAAGCAGAGGGTGGGTAGAGTCAACTTGGATGACGTGACGGGAGTGAAATTAAAGGGACGAAGCTGATGAGAACTTACATGATACTTATGGAAATATAGCAAAACCTACCATAATTTTATTTCCGCGGTTGCCAAGTTTTGCGGGAAACGGATTGAATTTATAGAGAGGTATTTGTAGGAAAAATATAGGTTTGTTTTCTTTGAATGTTGGACGTGTTTGTAAGGATGGAATTCCGATAGGGTCGAATTAGTTGTGATAGATTTTTACTATATTTCTATAAGGGGGTTTCAGATGAATGTTTATTTGGCCTGGTAGAGTAGAACATGCTACCAGGAGTCTATCCGATCATCTCATCACCAGAATCGATTCTCGTCCTCATGGATAAACAATATTGTACCCCAAACCAACCGAAAGCCTTAGCCATAAACACCGTCTACCGCTGACTGACTGATAGGGCGCAATTGATGAGCAGGTCAGAATATCATCTATGCAGTTAGAAAAGTATCTATGGCCTATCCCCCCTCTCCTCTCGACGTGGGTAATTATTTGGGGCTGGTAGTAATAGCATAACGAGAGATCAAGTACGTCGGAGATATAGGAGAAAATAAAATGTAAAAATCGAACTATTCTAGATCTCCGCGGCCGCTCTATGTACTATAGGCATATCTGATATCCAACAACGCACCGCAAGTCCTACGACAGGAGGACTAGTATTACCTGTCCAGCGCCAGTCAAGGATGTCATTCTCTACCCCCCTACTCAAAACAGCTCAAAGATTCTGGCTACGGCATCAGATAGTGGCCTCTGAGCCTCTAAAGAGCAAAATTGAGACGTCTTCCACCACCGGTCATGACCGAGACAGTACGAAACTACCACTCCACCACCAGCAGAAGGTACAGGAGACGACATATCCACACAGAATTGGAGTCGAAGTTTTGTTGGATAAGTATCCCGCCCCCAGCAATGCATGGATACTCGTCTGCAGCCCGGACACACCTTACACCTCGGCGTCATAGATGATCACTCGAGAGGCGAGTGATATAACATGATTCTGTCATTTAAGAGATGTGTGTGTATTTGTGTGAAAGTACTGACCTATGAGCCTGATAGTCTCTATCTAGCTTCGTATATAATCTTTTGTATGTGTACTAAGTCATAATCTAATCGTACTGTAAGTAACTCTCACCCCCGAGGACTAGCTGTGGCGTGGGGATACGACAATTGGTGGTTTTACTTGGGTTCAAGAGAATCAAGGTTCTTTATACCCATTTTTGCTTTGCCCTTAACACCTTGGAGTATTCCTGGTCACTTAAATTTTTTTCGCAAGTCTAGTTACCGATTTTAGTGTGCTTTGTCATGTTGTGCAGCATCTATTTCTGGCCGGATGCCTTGTTTTGTCGCCTTTCTAGGTGGAACAAACAATGGATTTTTGTATCGTAACAGTGTACTACAAAGGTTTTTAAAAATCCCGTTGAAAGTCTTCGTCAATCATGCTCAAACATACACAATTTCTTCGGTATATTACCTACCAGCGCTAGTGATGGCCACGAGACAAGACGTCTCGAGCTCTTGTCTCGAGACTTGCCTACAAGATCTGGCAATACAGCGATTATGGAAGGACAAATATCTTGACACGAGTCTGAGGTTGGTCTCGAGACTGAATGCAAGACTTTGGCACTACTTATTTAGTGATCTATTCTCCAAAATCTTGAACTTTATGGATCACGTGATTATACTTCTGTCTAAATTCAAATATTCTCTCAATTGAAGCCGTTTAGTGCTATTGAATACGAGATCACAATTATCTCCCGGTACTCTCGAGACATCTCGAGACTCCCGAGACCTATCCCTCACCAACTGGATACGAGACGAAACAACTGTCAATCTGGTCTCGTCTTGTCTCGTAGCCATCACTAACCAGCGCCAGTTCAGTCAGTGGAGCACTATCCTAATCAAGACATAGTTACAGTACAGCACCTAACTACAAATCAAGAGTCTCCCCCGGCAGTAATGATAGACCTGTCTTTGGCTTCTTCACCTCTATCCCTGTGATAGTCCCGCAACACCACTCGCTCACCAGACGAGTGATAAACCACGATTCCAAGATTAGAGAAATAACACTTCCACACAGCACAAATCCCAACAGTGCCAAAACGTACTATCTACTTCTTGAAACTCCCTTGATTCACGTTATTCCAATAGCCTTTGTTAGTCATATCTAGTGTTCCGATAATATCCCGCCAACCAACACCCGGGCCCAACACCTTCCAACGGGAGTGATATCAATCACCTCCGATACCGAGGAAACCCACACTCCAAATGCGTCGTTTCAGTCTTGTTACCATTTTTGATCGATGTATACCGTGATGTTTCGGATTGCGTTCTAACGGGTACATAAACAGACAAGTAGATGTGAGTCGTATTCTGACGGGAATACAGCAACTTCCGTAGGAAGGCGTAGTGACATCAGTCGACTAACGCCATTCTGCTTTTTCCACCCCCGTACCTGCTCCAATATGGTTATATCTCACGAGGATTAATACATTTCCACCAGGTTATCACAGCCACCCCTAGGCCTGCTTCAGTTCCCAACGGTGAACCTAAAATACCCACGCAATTCCACGACCTCCCAAATCCCAACCATAGACCCTCTCGATCAAACATAGCCAGCGTCTTATTCGGCAATTTAATCACAAACTTATGCTTGAAGATCGTATTACTCCACGTAAACTGTGTATCATTGAGACCAGGGTTATGGTTATGAATCGAGTGATCATGTAGATTATGTTTGGGCTCTTTGAGGTATAAAGTAGTCCGGGATTCACGAAGTAGAATCTTCGACTTCTTATGGCTAGTTGTGGCGAGTTTGCCATAGTCGGACTACTATAACTTCGTCCAATGCTGCTAAATACTGCATGCAGCTATGTCTTCTCCGATCGAATCGGGTCTGTTTTCGTATGTTCAAGAGGTAATTAAAGAACTATCATGTGGGCATGTGTCGGCGGATCCCGGTAACGAGGTATTCTTGCGTTCGGGAAAGGAAGTCATTTGGCATGACAGGAATTTATGTACGTTATGTAGCCCATACAATGATTTTGTGCTTGTGATGGGGTTGTACAGAAGTGGTTATGCTGACCAGCTGCAGGCTGTAATCTACATGCAGTACGAGATCGTAGAAATCGGCGTAGACTATATGGGCCACACGTATAACGGTCAACAGGAGAGTCATGGCCATAGTGGTCTGGGAGGAATGGAAGAGACTGATTGGGTCGGGCAAAAAGAATACAGGATAAATAAGATAAGTATATATATATTCTACAAGCTGGTTCTGGTCTTTGATTGGTGAGGATAATGAAATAAGGAAGAATGAAGAGTGTCACTAAATACATGTAGACGCCCTACCGACACAATAGGGCCGGTGTACAGTCAATATAGGTGTACTGCCGCTGCGCTTCCCTGCTAAAGAGGTGTACCGTCACCATGGTGCAATCGCCAAAAACATATCACAAATACAATTGCAAAACACTCCCAAATAATACCTACAACATATCAAAATCACAAAAACGTATAACAATCACCGAATAGCAGAAGGACAAAAAGAAACAATAGCCTCCAACATAACATTTCTTTTTCGCTGACTCCCCTATTCAATAGCTCGAGGAAAAGAAAACGTCCAAAGGGCGGCCAGTTAGGACCTTTAAAATACACATTGTATACTCTTTCCATCTATACACTGATTAGATGTGCCTCGAATATGCCAATATACATACTTGACGATCAATAAAAAGACGAGATGTTTATATGTAGCACCTTTGACGGACATGCCGCCCTCCCGTTCAAGGTAGCATCTCGGTCCAACTGGACTTCTTCGAGAGCGAGAGGTCCTGATGGGAGAATAGTCTCACATAGAACCAAGTCTGAGTGATCAAAGTAAACACTAGCATAGCATAGACCAGTCCTCTTAAATTGAAACAGCCTTGAAACACAGCCAAAGATAAACTCTCCACCGCGAAGGATGCTATCACCACCTCTTCGAACAAGGAGTCCCCCTTGCCCAGCACAACCATCGATGCATTCACGACAATCATCAGGACAAATATCCCCGCGCATACCGCCGCCGTAAACCAGAACGCATCCTCAGAGGGCACCCTACGTTCAGGTGTAATTGTCGGGCTACTGTCCGGTAAATCTAACGTTTGGTTGGAACCCGCTATGTAGTATACAATCTCGAGGATTAACCAGGAGACGAGAAGAAGTGTTGCGAAGGCGAAGTAGTTCCCAATATTGCTATATCCGCAGAGCTTGACGTATAGAAGAGGTCGCGAACTAGAGAAAAAGGCTTTCAGAGGTGGTCCGTTAGCGGCCTCAGTGAAGTTTGCCTTCTCGCGGCCGTACGCAGTCCCTTGAATGGCGCGCCTTAGCCTCACCATACCGCTGACCGCGGTGTGACCGTTCTCGGCGTTGTCGCGTATATGGTACCAGATCTCCACTAATAGCAAGGGCGCATCAAGGAGAGGGGCATAAAATGAAATGTGAACGTGAAACTCGTAGCACGGCAGAATCCACAGTGACCTATTTAAGGGACGTGTGACATATGTAAAGTTGAGAGATACGAGTGCCCATAAAATGTTGAAAGGTGTGACCCAGACATCGCAATGGGTGACACCCAACCCGGGCATCACCCGGGTAGCACCCGGCGGGTATAGGTTGGGTACGGCCTTTTCTTCAACGGGTCGGGCCGGGTATGGCCTATATTTTGACCCGGGTATACCCAGCTATTTCATCGGTGAGAAAAAGGCACTTCATAATTAAAAGAATTAATACATTTCAAATCCCCACTATAGTAATTCTCAAATATCTCCCAAATTACATGAAAGAAATAGTATACCCCCGGATTTATACCCATATAAGCGACGGGTTTACCCGGGTAAAACACCCATGAGTTGGGCCGGGTTGGGTACACATATTCTGAGGCCGGGTCGGGTTGGGTACAGACTCTTTTGATACCCGGGTGTACCCATTGGGATGTCTGGTGTGACCTGACCAGTAGCCGGAGGTTTATCGCTTGCATCAGGTCGCGTATCAAGGGGGATGCCCACGAGAGCGCTGTCCCTCAGATCAAGCTTATTTATTCCCCCTGGTTCTGAGTCCGTTAGCCCCAGACTGCCAGGAGGAACCCCAGCTCCGGAGGTAGACAAGATGAGGAAGGCAGAGAGGATCGCAAGGTATAATATGGAGGAAAATATAACTTTGGCATATGTCATGGCCGGCAAAAGTGATTCTATGCTGCAGTGTTTCTTCGTGCTGTACTTGTGAGGTTTCGCAATTGCAAGGGGAAAATTAAAGTTTGTTTTGAACTGTAAGTACTGGGATCCGGAGGACTATGGTGCGGGGTAAATCGGAGGGTGCCCAGAATGTAGAATTTGTGAATAAAAAATATAAAGAGCTAGAACCTATCGGGTCACTCCTAACGCGAGAGTGTTCTGGTTAATGACAGGTGTTGATTAGAGTAATGACAGGGATTATTGACAGGGATCAGGTTCGACAGAGGCTTTGAGACAGCAGCGAACATAAAAAAGAAAGTTCGGATGACTCCGTATATATATCTACCAGTGAGTTCGATATCCAATATCGCCATCAATGTAATGACAGCCTGCGTACATCCTGAATTGTCGATCAACCTTTGACATTGCTCCGCTGTAATGGTCATGACCCCACTCCCCCGCAGTGCTGCTCACTACCTCCTTACGCCAAGACGGCCTTGGATTTCAGCATTAAAAATGGGTCTAAGAAGATTCCGAATGTTGTCATATACTTAGGCATGCAAGTAGCCGGAGTACTAATCAACCTTCGTTTTCCGACCGTATCTGTATTTGTTTGGGTATAGTTGGGCTGTCACAGGTCTTCGCTGCAGTGAAGAGAAGAAGGTTTTGGTATTTAAAAGTATGCGCAATCAAATACCTGCATATAATGGTGTTCTTTGTAGTTGATAGCATACATACAGCTACTCAGCAAAAGTGTTCGTGATTTAGTTTTAATGTCAGTGCGCAGTGTGGCGCACCCGTATTCTTGATGTTATTAATGTTGAGATTCAAAATAAGGAAAAATATATAATATTGTTGGTGACTATATATAAAAGAAGATAGGTCATTGATCTTATTCTTCATTGATTCCGGGCGCCATTGATCACTGGGAAGGTCTTCTGTTGGAGTTTTTTTGATGCTCCGCTACGGTTACCTATGGAAAAATGTCTCACTTCGAAATCAGAATCACGAACACTTTTGCAGAGTGGCTGTATATTAGTTCGAACAGTTAGTAACTATCGCCGAGGAGTAGTAAGGTCGCTCACAACCAATAGGAACGACTAACCTCGGTGGCACTCGATATGCATGTTTCTATAACAATTTCCGAGCGTTCGGGCTATCCCACCTCAGGCCTTTATTACATATATGCATGTAACTTCTGCCCCCTATAACACTGTTAATTCATACCAGGTTACCCTTATATCCTACTTCTGTAACGTATAGGAACAACGCAGCAAAGACAGATATATATCGAGAAATAAGCCTATGTATGTACTGATCTCCTATCAATATAATATTATTTTTCTTTTCTTTGACTCGCGGAAGTGCCATGCAAGGGAGCACCAACCTCAACTTCAATATCGGAATCACATCCTCACCGCGTCAGAACAGCTCCCACCACCATGCACACCAGGCAACCGTCCAGAAAAACCGCAGACCGGGAGCTGGTGAGCATCCAACTATAATAAAGAACTATACTCGCCACGTTTATGTATTAGAGACAAAGAATCAAGAGTTAAACAAAAAATGACAACCATAGGGTTAGGTTTCACAACCGAGTGATATCCCATGAATGCGCGGTATTGCACGTGCGCGTTGCGTTCCGGTCTGTTTTAGAGGCACCGGATAGGCTGCGTTAGATATAAATAGCATGTGAAGAGGATGCCTTTAGGACCTCGGCAATATTTCTTGCGCTTTACATTGGGATGAAGAGCCCTAACCCTGGACACTAAGGCTGTGGGATCATTCTGTTGTCCTCCTGCTGCTGCTTCTTGCGGGTAGCGCATTTTTATCAGGTCTAAAGGTGCTCAGATGGGGAGGTAGATAGTAGGATGGGCCTCTTCAGGGTCAAGAAGTGCTTGCCAGTGGCCAGCCACGCCGAGGTTACGCTGTGACGGAGAACTCGTCGTTCTATAGATCGAGGGTGAGTAGCTGCACCTGAAACCTTTTCTAGGAATGTTTTACTACTGCTAATTGTAAGGAAAAGTCTTCTAATATCATACACACAGCGTCTGACCTGGGGGCTCAGATTGAACACTCACTCACATCTATTATATATTGTTCTTGAATTCTGGGGCGTAATTAGTCTATATTTCGAAAGATTAGTGAACGCTCCATCTTAATTATCTAAGGTATATATGTGTATGCCTCAATACTCTTTTCTTCCTTCGGACCATTTTTCCCCCTTTTAATTTCATGTATTACTCACGTCGGAATGGAGAGCGCGGACGTATTCCGTAATTGAAAAGATGTAGTTCCTTAATGGCCTGACCAAAAAGAGAAATTGACGGTAGAGATCTCCTATATACGAAAGGACGGTCTATATTAGGAGATTCTTCCATTATCAATCTTCCCATATGGACTAAAAAGCTCGGAGTAGCACCTAGTTTTTCTGTGTTAATTTAGGCGCTAAAGACGGCTTCTTTTGACTGAAGATATATATCGGAGAGCGATACTGTGTGGACTCTGCGGGGGGGGTTCAATGGAGATTTCGTTCGTTCTCAATAAAAAAAAGGGCTGAAACCCTAACCCTGCCTTCCCGCCAAGCCAACCCTAATCCACCAACTCAGAACTTTTCTTTTTTTTGTTTAATTCATTAATTCACCGACTCAGACCAAGTAGGTAGAAGCCAAACCGACAAAGGTAGCTTTATCCTTCTACAAGCTACCCCCTTTCTCCGATATTGAGAGTCTCAGGAATTAATACCCTCACTAATTGCAATTGTTCCTGGTTAAAGGTTATCGTTTGATACCAATGTCCTTTTGATTCATGACTTCAGCCGTGTCGGGTTAACTTCGCTAGAATAGTTTAGGACCATGTAGTGATAGAGTCTCTCTCCAGAAAGCATTTTCTGCTAAATCAGAGTTGCCTGTCAAAAGGTCGGGAGAGCGAAGAGGTCGATCTAACGGTCTTTTCCACATGTTTGTCCGCCTATTCTACTAGCTGACTGTCCGTACATGATGTCAACCTTTACCAGATTGTAGTACGCACACCGACATAAGGAACGGTTGTGGAAGTATACTCTTTACGATGAACTACGCGTTCCAGTTTCAGCATAGGCCATTTCCCAAAATACGAACTACATGCTGCAAAGGCGCGAAAGAAGAGCCTGGCGCATCTATTGAGTCTAAACTGTTCAATTGGTTGCCTTACGTCTCGCCGGTTCCAGTCACCTTTTATTTTTTGGATGATCAAGCCCGGGCTCATCTCCCGAGACAGTAGCACTATCCTCCCAGGGTTAGGGTTCATTACCAGACAGAGCAGCGCCAAGACATTTAATCAATCATTAATACACCCAGGCTACATATAGATATACACTGCCGAAGATTCCTCTGATGTGGCTGAAACGTGGCTTTAGGATGAGGTAGGGGACAGGGTTCCGAAATCTATGTTTCCTGTTAAACACCCCCCCCCCACATCACCAACAACTTTGTCGACACCCCTTCCATGGCTCTCTCTCGGTCCTTTTCTCAGTCTTTACCAATTCTATTATATTTGATGAGAGAACGGAGACGATGTAAGGTATGCAAGTAAATATTATATGGAGTGGGGCGTCCTTTCGATTGAAGATCTGTCGAGAAACCTCCATCCGGCTCCATGGCTTAGTAACGTAACTCCCATCATGAGGAAAGGATACGGTCAACGAATCACCTGGAACTACTGACCTACAAACTACGATTTCTCTTGTCTTAAAACATGCACATGTGAAGAGGGAGGCTAACCGAAAGGGAAATGATAAAACATTAATACCCCGCCCGCCGTCTAGAGCGATATCGGACTGCCCTACCTATTTCCTCCACACAGCAATTGGAGATTCTATGACATGATTTAGAATTAGGTATTCCAAATTCCACCATGCGCCATTCCCGCCTTAATGGTAAAACCTGAGTTAAAAATTGCTACGGTTATCCCGCTAGCTCTGGGCACCTCCGGTGTCACACCCCTGTACCAAGATAGACATTGTGTTTATTAATAAATACAAGGACATAAACGGAAGGACAAATCAAACAAACATTACAAAAGAAACTGAGGGCAAAGCAGAAACTGTCAAAACACATCAATTACAACCTCCGGCAGGTGTCATCTTCCAACATCATCTTAGCCACTACAACAAATCCACCTACAGTTGGAATCGCTAAGAGGGCAGTGATGAGGGCGGTGATTAAGAAGGCCAAAATTGGTTTACTTCCGGCAAAGTACCGAAACTTCTTACTCCCACTAATGAGGGCCAATAGCGGTGAACCCTGTTGCGTAAGGATAAAGAAGCACATGATCCATGACCGCTGACTGACGGTACTATGACCTGGATCAAATTTGGTGAGAATATAGATAATTACGTAGGGTGCTATTGAAAAGGCTATAAAGAGCCATAGTAGTAATAATATACTAGTCATGAGAAGAAGTGCCTGTGGTAGAATTAGCGTCTTCCGCATTAAATATTTCACACCTGAGATAGCCTACCCTTTTCATTTCATGTAAAATTCTAGCTTGCTGGGGCGAGAGATAATCCTGCTTGGTCGAGCCATGAACCTGCTTGGTCGAGTCATGATCCTGCTTGGTCGAGTCATGAACCTGCTTGATCGAGTCATGATCCTGCTTGGTCGAGTCATGAACTTGCTCGGTCGAGTCATGAACCTGCTTGATCGAGTCATGATCCTGCTTGGTCGAGTCATGAACCTGCTTGGTCGAGTCATGATCCTGCTTGATCAAGTCATGATCCTGCGTGGTCGAGCCATGAACCTGCTTGGTCGAGTCATGATCCTGCTTGGTCGAGTCATGAACCTGCTTGAGCTCGCCAAAAACCCGCTTGGGCGTGTCAAAATACCACCTCCAGAACCCCCCACCCACCACTACTTGATCAATCCATTGTGGTTCTGGAAAGTGTCCGTAGACCCGTCCCACCGCACCACTTGTCTGTTGCTCTACTAGCAACCTTTCATTTTCGTTCCACCACCCCTGAGGATAGACCTCCTGGCTCCCACCGCTTGGTGTTTGTTGTTCACCCTTGGGGTCCTCCTGCTTACCAGGAGCGTGAAGCCCGTGGTAATGAACCAAATATCTCGAGGGGTACCGGGGACCTGTGAGCCCAGCGATAAGGTTCGCCAACGACATGAGGACATATGGGATGACAGTCAGTTGGTAAGAGGTATACCCGTATCGGCTTAGTTGTGGTCTCGAAACCTGGTACAGTTCAAAGGAACCATATATTATTTGAATAATGGCGGCGATGGTCTTGACGAAGTCAAAATTACTGGCTAAACTGGCATCAGCAACACCCACCGGTTTTGGCGCATGTTGCACTTCCTGGGCAACAGAGTCTCCCGCCCCCGGTTTTTCAAGTGATGCCGAACCCTGACCGGATGGAGTATTTTCGGACTTCTTCGATTGGGAGAATTGCTTCTTGAACCAGTCCTTAATAACGCCATAATAGTTGTTCGCTTTGGAGACTTGCTTATCGCTGGGCTGGTCTATATTCCCACAAACTGTGAACGTGCGCGGTACTACAACCAAAGAGTAATCACGATGTGAAGGAGCCCCGCGGGCTCCGTTCTCCAGATCTTTGATCCCGACGGCGAGTTCCTTCAGATCTGTTGGATATTCGCCATGTACCTCCGTCAGGGAAGTAAAAACTGGCACGAGCGATGCGCTCTTGAACGTTTTGCTACGATCGACTGTACATGTAGGACTGCTAGAAGGTAGGTCAGGAGAAATCTGGTCCGTCTCAATCTTCGACGGGGACTTTTGTGGATCAACGGGGGTCGGGGTGTCCTCAGTCGTTGAGGGGGATTTCTCGAGATCAGGCGGAAATGTTGGCACCAACATGCAAAGGGCGCCCGCCCGTAGTGCAACGTCGAGGTCTGTCGCTCCCCATATCGCAAAGAGACAAATCTCGTCAAAGGCACGCAGGATCCCCGCAGATGGCATTAAAATAGCTGTGAATGATGTAAGGATAGAGGCGAGGGGTTTGCTCCCAGGTTCCGTGAGCACTGTAACCGCGTGTAGTCCATAATTCAGCAAAAAGAATTGTGCCACGTCCCTCCACCCTGAGGGCCTGCAGACGGTGTCTCCCCGCTCAAACCCGCCCAGACTCGTAGTGTTCATGTTGATAAAATCGAGGGGGGGGATGGATTCGGGAAGAAATTTAGGATCCAGGTGGGAAAGCAAGTACGTGTGTAAGGATTTCGATGGGTTCAGAGAGGCGGCTACTTGAGAGAAATAAATCGGCGAAGAAGAAAAGGGGGAGCAGTAATATAAATCATAGAGATGGTCATGCAAGGCAACTCACGCTCCCATCTTTTGACCTGGGAGAAGTGTGCCAGGAGCATTCAACACTAGACCGAGAACACCGGAGGGCCGGCAATTACGTTTTCTTTTGGACCGCCTCCTAATTCGATAAGAATATTATCCCGTATCTCGTTGGTCCTGTACTAGATATCTGCTTAGCCGGGATTTGCCAAGTCCGATTGGATGAACCCTGGGGCTCTTTATGGCGATTGGAGCTAATACAAACCCTTCGCCTAGCTTATTCTCCCACAGGATCTGCGCTGTATGATTGCTGGGGTCACGACGACGGACACTGGGTGTTGATGGATTGCAGTGAAGTGAAACAGCTAACCTTAATTTGATGTTTTCTTATCCCAAGTATGGACAACAGCCAATACCGAGTGAACGACAGTAATTAAGTAACCTTTTCTGACTCCACTGCGGGGTTACAGAGTATCGACAGATCAACTCTACTCTATCACCAAAAACGAACTGATTGGAGGGAGGAGTCGATTGACTGGCTGGGTGCTTCTATCATGCGGCCTCCACTCTACATACGGTCTGCGCAGTTTGACTGAGACTCAACGCGCATAATAATTATACAACTAGCTCGGTGGATGATCTATCCTGTGTGTTGGCGCATGTGTGCAACCACACGTAGCGGCGATCTCCGTATTTATTTGATGGAACTCTCTTAACCACAGATCAAGACGGAAATATTCAAAATGCAGCTCCGCCCATCGGCAATCAAACCTGCTACCCGCAGGGCGATACAGCCGCAACTTCAATTATCAAGTCCTGGATTAGAGGCTTTCAGTTGACCCGAATTTTTATTTTCAAAGTGAAAGGAAACCTCATGCAGCGAAAGTTGCGTCTGCTTCTGCAGCTGACATGTCACTTTCTGATGAATACTTAATGCTAAATATTCCGTCCTCGAGTATCTCTCAGTCTGCACCTGCAGGATGCTCTGTTTGTCGATAGTTCAATGCACTTTGGACAGGCTCTTGGCTGCAGGAGTTTCCTTTTCACTTTGAAAATGGAAAACAGGGATCAACTGAAAGCCTCTATTGTCGGAATATCGACCACGGATATTCAAGGTTCGGTTAAGTCACTTACCCCGACCTTCGCTACCTGGACCTATCCCTTGGGCGCGTGAGACATTTGAGAAACCTCTCTCATGCATAAATATTGTCATGTGACCTCGAAATTTAGCTGAGGAAACGTCATGGTAGGCTGTTCAATGCGTTTTCCAGATAGTACTGTACTCGTAACTTCCTAACGTTTTTGAACGCGACTGATATTGCATACCATACAAAAATACGCCAAGACCCTGATTTTGGGTGTGTGCAATAGTGGCCCAGTCCAAAAACGCCAGGAAACTACGAGTACTTGTAGTACGCCTGCATGTCAAAAACCTCGCAGGTCGCCGCTTTATTCAGTCAATCACTTTCTGGACATATCACGCTAATGCATGAGAGAGATTTCGCCAATGTCCCACGCGCTCAAGAGGCCCGTGGGGATACAGGCTCACCTATGCATTGCAGCAACAACACAAAGAAATTTGGTCCTATAAGGAGCTGCGAGTAGGGCACACTTGCATTTTGTTAGTTGCATGCCACGAAACACACCTCGTATTTCCCGCCCGCCCGCGCGCGCATTTGCCGGCATGCAAACATGCGCTCCCCCTCGATTACTAACCGGTTGACGTAACGTCTGAATACACCCATTTGGCGAATTTGTATGTGGCAACCAGTCAGCAACCAGTCAAGCGGCGAGTTTGTCTAAGATGTTCTGGTCCTTATTGGCCTTAATCCCTGTTCGCCAAGTGGGTGTATTTCCCAAATGCCTGTGAATTGCTGTACCTAACGGTTGCTTTTGGTGACCTGCCCTGACCTGAGTTCCCCACGTAGTTACACAACCGCCTAGCCTGCGCCACAACATTCAGTATTTTCGGCGGGTATGTGTGCGCTGATAAGCAATCATACAGGAACCCGGGATCAACAAACCAGGCCGGGTTAGACTGGACTACAGAGTTGCGTTGTCATTGGGCTGACCAAAATATCGGTGGGCGAGATACATACGGTTGTGTTGTTAATTTTCGTCCAACACGATCTATGAGCTGAATGAGCTACGTTCTCGATACCAAAAGGGGAAGGGAAAGCTTTTAGGTAACAAATATAAGGTGTCCCGGCGCAGCGGAGCCCAGAAGGCGCATCATTTACATCATACATGGTCCATGGTCTGCGGTGCACGCAGAGAGAAGACGATAAGTGGAAGTATTATCTTATATTTATACTTATCACCCATACTAAATTTAAACGATATAATGATGCTATGTATTTATCTAATTATTCCTAGAGTTCCTCCATGCAAAACGGCGTTGCTGATCGATAATCTGTGTCACCAAGACCCATAATTTGGTTAATATGTATCAGAGGTGCGGTTGACACGCGGGCGAGGAGTGGCGCCCGAGCGGCCAGCCGCTCGCTTGATGTGGGGTACAGGGAGTGGTGTAGGTTTTAAGATGCTTAAATCAGCCTGCACTAGCGCGCTTATCCATGCAGGCTATCAGGGTCCGTGCCCGCACCTCACGACCCGGGTAACAACACCGTCGATCCGATTCCCAACCACAATGGTCCCTGCAGGGTGGTTACGTTATCTATGCCGGGAAGCTATTCCCGCGCCTATCCGCGTGAGCAATCGCCTGACAGAAATTTTGCTGAGGCTCAGCCTGCAGGGATGCAAAGCGACCCCCCGCAACCACCTAACTTCAACCAAAGCAAAGCGTCTCAGACGCATGAAGACAAGCCGCTGTAAGGACTGCTCTAAATGGAGGATCTACACACTCTACAACCTCGAGGATGAGATATGTGTGTAGGTAGGTAAACCAGGATCGTTTATTGTTCCGACCTTCTGCCAGTCTTTTTTCCCTCGGCATGTTGGAGGTTCTCCGACGTCGGAGTGGCTTTCGAAGCTCAATTTAGAGGACATATGTATGTACAAAAAGAAATGTTCATTTCACTTCCGACACAACTCGGACTCCTATATCACATTCCAGTACCTATCACAAGTAGTAGCCCACCTCGCCACCGCGAGGTTTTACTTCCACCTGAAAATCTCTCCCACCTTCATGTACTCGTCTATTCATAGCGTTTCCGAACACAACCAATATTGCATGACATACAAAAAGGTGGATTTGGCGCTTTTTTATATGGTATGCAATAGCAGTCGTGTCCGGAAACGTCATGAATTTACGAGTAGTAGGTACTTCCAGTTACCCATGTATCCCTTGGACGTACGAGACATTTGGAGAATCTCTCTCATGGATTAGCGCGAATTGGCAGTCATGTGATCTAGAATTTGGCTGAGAAAACGTCCGGGTAAGTAGTTTGCTGCATTTATTGGTCTTTGGAGTACAGTTCAGAGATGCCAAAAACTTCGCAAGTTGCTGCTTTATTACAGTAAATCGTTTCCCAGATAGGCCACGCTAATGCATGAGAGAGATTCTCCAAGTGTCTCGTACGTCCAAGGGATAGTAGTTAGCCATCACGAGTACTCTAGTTATGTGGTAGCTGGCCATCTCCAGTAGTTGCCCACGGCTAGCTCCTACGGTTGACCATGGCCAACTCGATCCCGTAGTTGTCTACAGCCAGCCCTCGGAGTTTACCATGGCCAGCTCCAGTACTTGGCCAGCTCCAGTACCTACCTGGCCAGCTCGTACTCTTCTCTCAGTTACGGCTTCCAGCGAGATTTGTTGCTCTCAGTCCAGTACAGAAATTACCCCCTCTTGCTTCCCAACTCCAAAACTTCTCCTGTAATGTAATTGGTTACCTCCCGTAGTATAATTGATCCCCTCATATCATACTAAGTTAATTCCTGGTATGCCAGTGTCATGTTCGCAGCCCGCTCCCAATTTTTGGTGGGTAAGCCGGTTTCTATCCAGGGTTAGGGTTCCTCGCTCTCGACCACCCAAACGCCAGAGAGTTGTTACGCCCCAACCAAGGATAACCCTTATCCAGGGACGTCGTTGGATGGTACATAGAGTACCAGCCAAGGACGTCCCTGGGTAGAATATACCAGTCACAACTCACAACTGGTATGTGTCCTGGAATGGCACGCGGTAACTATACCATCCGGAGAGATCAGTGACTGGTATACTAGTAAAGCTCGAGAGTAGCATTGGTCATAACAGCTACTTACGTGTCTTCGGAAGAGCGGGATAGATATATCCTAAGCAAGCAGCGAGTAACCCCCGAGAACGAAACTCAGCATAAGCCAGCAGCTAGTCAACCTTTGAGCCCTCCATACAGCCTAATCCTCATAAGCAAGCAGCGAGTTAACCTCCGAGATCGAGATACAGCATAGGAGCTCGTCAACCTCCAAGTTTAGCAGCGAGCAGCTTATTGAGAAGTGAATCCTCATCCACGAGTCTAGGTTCTGATAGCTAACTAACCTCCGAATCCAGAATATAGCAACTGGCCAACCTCCGAACACAGAATCCAGTATGTAAGCAACAATCTAAATTTTCGAGTCCAGAACATGGCCGCTAACTAACCTCCGACTCCAAATCCAGCTTCGAGTCCCGCAACTAAGCACCCGGCTGGCCGGCCTCGCTGTACTCGTAAGTTCATAGCGTTTCCGAACACGACCAATATTGCATGACATACAAAAAGGTGGATTTAGCGCTTTTTATATGGTATGCAATAGCAGTCGTGTTCGGAAACGTCATGAATTTACGAGTAGTGACCGAGTGATAAATCATGAATCTCATTGGCTGGCGGAATATCCCACGGTGAGGCTGAAAGAAGGTTGCCCTATCACCAACACCGTTATCTGTGCCCTCGTCCCGTTGCCTAATGCAGTCATACGAACCTCGCTACCAACGACGCCTGCCTGCGGAGTGGTTTCGGGCTAGCGACTTATGGTCATTCGGAACCGGCCTGACGCCCTACTGCGCGACAGAGAGATTGAGGCCAATGGCTAAGTGATTGGAAGCACTCAAGCATATGTGTCGGGTTAGAGGGCTGGAGGATATAAAATGCGACGACCCATTAATCCAATCATCGTTTCTTCCATCCTCCACTCGCCCGAAAAGAGTCTGTGCGATTCACGAAAAATCAGTATCCTGAGAATACTCATCGCTTGAAAATGCACATCCATCGTGACCTGGCAGATGCTGATGCCTAGCAGGCATAATATTACAGCGTTTCAAGGGCATTTGGCGAATACACCCATTTGGCGAATTGTATGTGGCAACCAGTCAGCAACCAGTCGAACGGCGAGTTTGTCTAAGATGCTCTAATCCTTATTAGCCTTGATCCCTGTTCGCCAAATGGGTGTATTAGCCAAATACCTATGAATTGCTATCGCCTGGTAGGCCGAGACCTGCTCAGAATCTGGTGCTCTGCATGCTCGGCAACTTGGCAGCGGTCTTAGCTGTATTTGGTACCTATTTGGTTGATCTTTCAACCTCGTTGCTCAAGTTCTATTATGGTATTCCTCAAAACAACGTTCCCTACAAAGTGCCTGTTTACATATATTGCAGATAAAAATGGTTTGTGAAATCCGGCTCTTTCTCTTAAACCTGCACCAAATACATTTCAGACGCTTGACTTTCCCATTTTCATTGTAGTTTCTAATAATAAAATGTCCAGTACCGCCTATATCAATTCCTCTCAGTACATTTTCGGAACTTGAAGGCTCGGCGCTGGCGGGGATCTAGCATGGTACGGGGGTTAGATATAGTGAATCAATCAAGTATTAGGTGCGAGGTACTAACCATTGAATTAGGCAGAGGGCAGGCTGCATGTTTTGAGGCGTATACTCGCTCTGTTTTCTTTTGGTAGTAGCGGGCTCTTAAAGCATGACACCTGAGCGCATGTCCTTCTTTTCTGGAAACCAGTCGATGTTTCTTTGAGTTGGATTCTTTATATTTTCCGACTGCTTCCGTACTTAGGATTAGAGATATGAGGTGTTTTTGAACTTCTACCTGCGATATCCGCTGATAATAGTGAGTGTTACTACTATGTGTACGTTGTAGTAGGAGGAAGGAATTGTTGATTGCGATATCAAGCAGCCAATAAAAAAGAGGAAGCCATGTGCGACGGGATATCAGCTGGGTAGGGCAATAACAGCGGCGTTGGTCTGCTATATCAACTCCGCCCTTATTTTGATTGTAATCAAAAACAGCAGCAGGTATGGCGAACACCTTCCTGTGTTCATTTCCGAAATACTTTTGAATTTCTGGACCACGTGTGCTTGTATTACGGGGTTTCCGCCTGTTGCTTAACACACATTCCTCCAAAGTATGAAGGGTAGTAAGCATTTTGACTGTATTATTATCCTCCCACCGCAGAGCAAGAACTTCTCCATCACCGACTGTCTCCCCCCGCAGGTCATTCCACTGAGATTTTATGCCTTTGATGTCTTCAAGAAGAGATTTAGGGAATTTGTCTTCCCCTGTACGCGTCGTACCGCATGCACCGATTCCAAGACGCCGGAGTTTTCTGTAGAGCGGAATACTACTAAATAAATTGTCCATGTACACGTTGTATTGGTGTGTTGTATAGGAAAGCTCGGATGCCAATTGATAGACCGCAGATGTTGTAGGTGTCAAACGTTTTTGATTTTTGAGTTCCGCGATTCCACATGATCGTGAGGTCAATAACCAACTCCATGTATATCCGTAGTCACATAAAGCAAATATCTTGTACCCCTGATTTATTGGCTTACTTGGCATACGAACTGTATGTTTTGTCCGCCCTTCACACCGGACCATCATCTCATCAAAACTAACATTACTGGCCGGTGTATATAAATTCTTTGATACGAGGCGTAAATGACTATGTAATGGCTCTAGTTTATGCCACTAGTCTTTGTTGCGTATGGTTGTTGATGAAATTGGTTGGGGTATATGAATAAACTGTTTGAGTTGTTTGAACTGGTTCAACGACATCCCAGACCTTTTTCTCAAACTGAATCCTAATAATACTATTAGAGCAAAATTACTAACTCTATCGTATCAGGTACTTACCCCATTCCGACCCTGTCCAACAATTTTCTACTTTCCGAGCCTTTAGAACTCCAAGGAGGATCAAAACTCCTAAGAATATAACTATTTCTTCTGGATTGGTTTTTTTCCATGGACGACACCGGCAAGCAGTTGAATTTGACCCGCATGTAAGATGTCTTCCCCGCTTGACTTTTTTCCTTTTCTCATAAAACTCATCGGCATACTGATTTGTTGAGTCCGCAATGTAGCGCAACTGCTCATCACTCCAGAACAGTTTGAAAACCCCTAACGCAGCCATCTCAGATGGCAGGTTTGTCTTCCCCTCATGCGGTGGAATTCTATGTACTAGAGGTTGAAATGTCACTGACGAGTATATGCGGGGCAGGCGGCTATCATTGATGATCGGTCTCAAAGGAACTCTTGAGTTTTCAACGGCTTTTCTATTTCGCAGCATGGCAATCGACGAACACCTGGATACAAGCGGATATAAGGACGAACTCAAACAGGGACGAGAGCGGACTCAGGCGGACTCAAACGGGTGCGAGGGCGGACTCAAGCGAGGCACCTGAAGCTCAAGCTACAGCTATCGCCAGCTGTTTGATGCCAAGCCGCCGAGCCTGCAGAGCACCAGATTCTGAGCAGGTCTCGGCCTACCAGGCGATACAAGTCGCACCCAATCAGTCACATGAATGCGTGGATTAAGACTGGGCGGCGGAGAGATCAGTTCAAGACCTCGTTACTCCTCAGTATGTACATCTCTTCACCTACACTAGGTATCATTTACTGTTTACATTAACTACTGCCAGATATCAAGATCCCGTACCTCCAGAAGCCAAGTCTTGATCAACTCTCTTCTCCCCCTCTACCTCCTTCACCTCTCCCCTCTCTCCCGGACAATGGGAAAAGCATCTGCATTGTGCTCTCCAATCTTCCGGTACACTTCCGGAACCTATATCTATTAAACTCTCAAATCTCCGGAAACGTCACCAAAACCATCGACCAATCACTCCTGACCCCGATGGCCAATACCCCACCAAGCTTCGGGCGTGGCAACAGCTTCTGCAGGCCAGCCGACTAGATTGCCTTCATCAAGTTCTTTGTCCTGAACCTCGGCCTCCACGCCCTTACCGTTGTCAACCCACCCGGCAGCACCGTCATCACAACTAGTGTCAACTCCTTGCTCGCTATGGTCCAGCCCGTGCAGAGGGTTGATAATTGCGATCCCGACTATATATAGGGTAGCAGTGCTGGCGGAATCGGATTCGGAGGCGGCGCTGAAGTCGGGAGCGCTTTGTATGATGGTTACCACAGCGCTGCTTAGCCTTAATGGTAAAGCTCGAGAGATGGGGCCGTCGCCGGAATTGTGGGCTCCTCCGGTGGATTCCACCTACAGTGGTCAGGAGGTTAGCACACCTCAAGCTCTACTTGGAGCGACGCAGCAGGGGGTGTCTGCTGTCTCCGCTGAACAGTCTTTACCGCAGGATGAAGAGTTGAGAAGAGAAGGCCCATATCGGATGCGTAAACTGGCCCACATCGACCCCCCTACGACAACCATCCATGGCCAGTTTCCGGCAGATGTGTCATCGCCGGGTTCGCTGGTGATGCAGTCAGCAAACACCATCATGCACCAGCACGAGGAAGCGGGAGCGAGATCACGGGAAGCTCTATGGACTGAATACGCTCTAGTGACTGTACCCCCTCCTTCTCTGTCTGTCCACTCCTGCACTCGACACTGCCGAAGCGCAATGCCCTGCGACGGCACTATATCACCGGTTTGTATCCCGTGCGGGGCGTTCAAGACATGACGGTGCCTCGCCGCTGCGGCTGGCGTCGAATTACAGCTTCGTAAAGACGGGCGCGGCTACCCTCCACATTGTGTATGGATACTGGGGTCTCTACGTGGTCAGTGAGGAGCAGATCCAGCGGCACGGTTACCTAGCGTATGAGTTTACTGTCATACCTTACGTTTTCGTATCCTTGATCAACTGAGGCGGAGAAGCCAGACCCCGCGAGTAAAGATCATCCGGAAGTGCCGCCCACTATATTGTCGACAGATGAGATACACGATGGCGGGTGGGCAGAGGCGATGTCGGAGCGGATAGCTAGTGAAGAGGCAGACAACGGAGAAGAGTCAGGCAGTGTATATCCCGAGTATTGGTGGGATGAAAGGCAGAGGCGCGAGGTTGAAAGCAAGATTAGCGGTGCCGTCGGCTATGTCTACAGAGGCTTTGAACGACCAGTGAACCCAACTATGAGAACGGCGGATCAAAAAATGCGAGAAAAGAAGCGGAAGGGCCGAACGATAGTAAGTCCCTGCACTCCCCCCCCCTACCCCGCACCCACCTCAATACCACAACGCTAAACAACCATTTCCAGATCCGCAAATACCTGCTAGCCCTTCTCCTCATCTCATTTTTTGCCGCCCCATACATCATCATCAGCACTCTCACCCGCTGGAACAGCGGCAACAGCACCCCGCTCCAACGCGCGCTGATCATGCTGTGGATCGTCAACAGCAACATTGGAGTACTACTGGCGGTGGTAGTCACTCTTCTACAGCAAGTAGTGGCGAGCGCTCCTCGCAGAATGTGCCGGATTGCGTTCCCGCTGGTGCTTCTCCTCGCGACCGCGGTGATATACGTTCCGGCCGTGGGGGGCATGTATATGGCGGCGAACTTGATACTGGGTGATCGTACCTGTACGAGGCTGTAGAGGTGATCTGGGTAATGAGCTATGAGGGTCTGTTGGGTGTTGCGGGATGCGAGCTGTGGTTGTGGCTGTTGGTGGTCTTTGGGGGGGGGGGGGGGGGGTATTGTGTATTCGGGGGTTCTTGCAGGTGTGTTTCTGTTTCATGTGTGGCAGTGCAACCTATGTCGCGGAAAGTTATCGCACGAACTATTTATTTCCGGCGACAGGAAAATTGGTCGAGATTGTTCCGGAATTCTTAATCTTGCTATATGAGTCCAGCCTTCAGCATCTCCGGATCTTTCTCCGCAGACCCTCTTCTAATGGCAGAACAGATCGCTCGTCTTTCTCACTGTACCCCCCCCCCCCCCCCCCCCAAAACCTCAACAAGCACCTTGAGAGCGTTAGCTTCTTATAACCGCCGGCTCTCGAAGATTTATTCTCCAAAAAACTCCTGCGCTATATTCTACTTATCGTCAGTACAGGGTTAGGGTTGTTGAACGGTTTTCTTTTTTTTTTTTTAATCCATTAATTGTATGCAGACCGTAGTCTATGGCAATATCACACTGCCCCAGAACTTCCCAATCACTCCCTCCACCTCTCACACAGTAAGGGAATAAAGAGATAATCACAAAATAATAGGCTAGTAGCCTGTAATAAATGGAAATCATCATAACTTATGAAGGTAAAAAATAGTGACTTATGAAATAAGAAATAGTGACTCCTGAAACAATCACGGGGCTATGGACTCTCTCTCAGGCCGCCCTACCCCATTCTCATTTCCCTGGTCTCCTCCTCGCTATCTTCATCTGAAAGCTCTTTGATTGTTTTTCTTTCTGATTACTACCGGAACGTTACCGAAGGGGCTAGGGAAAGCTACTTAGTACAATAATCACTGCAGGGTGTTGAACCATTCTACTACGAGGATTCATACATCAGGGAAATTCCTTTTTTTTTTTAATTGGAGTAATGTGTACTATAATGTAAAATACAGGCTTCAAATAATACATTATTTCGAAAGTATCAGGGAACGAATCTGGTAACGAATCGGAGAATAAGCTTTTTATGCATCAGGCAATGTATGAGGGAATGTATGAGGAAATGCATGAGGAAATGAATCGGGCAATGAATCGGGGAACGAATCGGGAATGAATCGGGAAATGAATCGGAGAATGAATCGGGGAATAAACCGGGGGATGAATCGGGTAATGAATCGGGTAAAGAATCAAGAGGTATAAAGCCATCGCAAAATGAATCATATTTATTGAGAAAGAAAAATTGAAGTCACCGGAAGTTGAATCTGTGACTTAAAGGATGCTACTCCATTCTTTATCAACTAAACTACTGATAATATGTTTTTTGCCCTTCTTCTGTGTTAGTAAACTGTCTCGAAATAGTACGCTCAGTACGTTTCATAGTATTGGAGAATTCACATTTGTCATTAGGCGTCACAGGTTCTGACTCATTCTTTCCCTGGTATTTATTAGTGATGTTTTTCTATTACTCATACGGCTATGATTCTTTATGTTTTGTACTACCTTTCTTTAGTATAAATACTGGGCATTCCCCCTTCTAGTTAGTTTGTATAACACGCTTAATTACTAAACTTTTCTATAAATAATTTCTCTAGTTTATGAGCTTGGAGACTATTTACGCTTATACACTCCAAACCATTTTTATTATTAAGTACACTTTATCATTTCACTTGAAAACATTTCGAACAATAGCGTAAAAATTCCCACTTCACCATGCAAGCTGTCTGGCCGAGGACATTAAACTGTTTCGAGGGACTTCACTTATCGCATGTTGAAAGTTCACGGTTTGTGGATTCTAGTCGATCGTAAGAGTAAGCGTCCTGTATTCACCACAACCACAACTACAGTTACAGCGACACTAACTGCAGAACAATCTGCAGAAAGTACAGCAGCAGAACCAGCAGAAGAGGAAGAAGAAGAGACCACAGATAATGCTGAAGAAATCAGCGAATGAGACAAGAAAGATAACCTCGCGGTCTTCTTCCTTCAAACCAACGTCGAATTTGAAATCATTCTCACGCTCACTCCAACAGATACCACTCACCACCTCTGGACTCAACTCAAGGACAAATTTTTTTTGATCGAAAAACTGTATCTTCCTTCCACTCGCTTCTTGCCAACATTGTAACCCTACAGTATACGCCTGACAAAGGCATCAAGAAACATCCAACCAAGTCAAATGCTTTTTGATCATCCCTCCTTACTAGAACCAGCATCTGCGGACAAAACCAAAGACCTACTCGGTTATCACCTCCACCAACTCGAAACTGTCTCAGAAGCGAAGGCATCTTTCCTACTTCTCTCACTCCGGTACGAATTCCTCAAATCAGTTGTTAACAAACTGCAAACCAAGCTCAGCATCACCTTCAATAATGTGTATGAAAAGCTGTTGAATTTGGACTGACAGTGTGACAATGTTTGATATTCGGCTGGAGAGGCCTACAATATCAGGCGAGGAAACCTAGTACATGGAGGTAACAACAATATTGGCAAGGCACAGAACAAAAAAAGTACAAAAATGATGTCAAATGTATATGGTGCATCAAAAATGGCGATTATAGAAAAGGCCACATGCAGAAAGACTGCCGGAAATTCAAAGCTTTCAGAGACAAAGAGAAGTCCGCTGCATCTGGCAATCTCAACGTCGAGTCCGGTACTGAATTTTATACAAAACTAGACCTCTCTTGGATTATTGACCTCTCTGACCTCCCTGAACTCAGAGAAGCTAATGCATTTACTATGCTGGTTTCCTTCGACTTTACCGCTTTCTCAAATACTTCAAATGGAACAAGGAAAGATGACTTTGGCTTCGTTGCAGGACCTTCCACATCTGATAATAAGACATGGATCTTTGACCCTGTCGCAACCAACCACATGACCAGAACTCAAGTTACCAACCCTTCACCTTATAAGGGAACAGTCACTGTTGACGGCGGACGAAAGCTACAGATAACTGGAATTGGAAATGTTACCATCACCGGATCACATGGCCCTATTACTCTGCAGAATGTATTTTTATCTCAGAATTCAGCAATACCAATCTAATGACTTATTCATGTATTGCCAAAAAGAGATTCACTACAACAGGAATGGAAAACGGCTTTACCATTTATAAACCGAACAGCAAAGAAATCATTGGGCTCGTTAACGCAAATAGTACTAGTCTTTATATTTTTGAAACCAAGGAACCTTGCGCACACATATCCATCGCCAGCAACCTCGATGACTGGCACCAACGACTCGGACATCTCCCCGCTTCCTCGCTCTCACGGTTACATAACATGGTCACCGATCCAAAGTCTCTCCCCACAATAGGTAATATAGAAACATGCAATACATGTGAACTCGCCAAATCCACCAAATCACACCTTGCTCCTCTTACCGAATCACGATCCAAATAGCCACTAGAACTATTCCACTCAGATATGAGTGGCAAGTTTTCCACTCCTTTTCTTGCTGGTTTTAGTTACTATATTACTTTTATTGACGATTATTCCAGGTACTCTCACCTCTACTTCCTTAAAGAGAAGTAAGATGCAGTAGCTGTCACACAATGGTATATCGCATACATGTAGAATCAATTGGATAAAACGGTCAAACGGTTCCAAAATGACAATGACAACAAATACATCTCCAACGACCTCCAACAATTATTTGCGTCCAAAGGCATAAAGCTTGAACTCACTATACCCTACTCTCATGAGTCAAACGGAACAGCAGAATGCTTGAACAGAACACTAGCAACAATGGCACAATCCAACTTGCTCAATCACGACCTTCCACGGAATCTATTGGCAGAAGCGATCAATACAATGGTATATGTCAAGAATCATTTCCTGCATAAAGCAATCCCAAATATGACACCAGATGAAGTACTCAGTGGAAAAAAACCCTTCATTGGAAATCCCCGGTTCTTCGATGAAACAATATTCATTCACATACCTGTCGAAACACGATCAGCTGAAACAAAGTTAAACGCTAGGGCAATCATGGGACAATTCTGCGGCTATGGAAACTCTGATAAAATCTGCCATTTTTATATACCATTATAAAGGAAAGTAGTTCTCTCTCATCATTTTAGGTTTAAAGGTACATGTGTAGGGGAAGACATTGAAATTATATCAATCAAAGCCCATGCATCCGCTAAACCAAACAAATTGTGATCAAACAAGAACCATACTCACGACCACTAACACCACTTGCTGAACTCTCCGATTCCGATGTAGAAAACTTGTTCAACCAGCAAATACTTCGGCAAAATATAGGACATATTACTGATGACAAAACCGAAAAAGAAGAAGATGAAGAAGATGCCAATTTAGGGGGGGGCAGCTTTTCGAGACTTACTCTTGAATGTACCAAGTACAATTATGTTGACACAGACACTGATCAACCGAGATGCAACCCACTACGGGAACGGAAACCTGCGGTCAGATACGGATACAACATTCAGTATTATACCAACATTGCAGAACCAACAAACTATCACTAAGCAATCAACAGTCCTGACTCTGAAATATGGCGAAAGGCTATAGAATTTGAACTAGACTCACTCGCAAGGAATAATACATGGAATGTGGTTGACACACCAGAGCACTGAAAACTGGTCGACTGCAAATGGGTATATAAAATTAAACTCGGGCCCGATGGCAACCCAATTCAGTAGAAAGCCCGACTAGTCGCAAAAGATTTCTCACAGGTACCTGGTCAAGATTTCAATCAAACCTATACTTCCCTCACCCGATACGAATCCATCAGACTATTTCCTGCTCACTGTGTTCAAACCGGCGGCCAATGCGATCAGATGGATGTTACTAGCACTTTCCTATACGGTGAACTTCAGGAATAAATCTATATGAAATCTCCACCTGGCTACCCTACTCCCGGTAAAGCATGCAGACTTATCAAACGTATCTATAAGCTCAAACAGTCATTTCGGGAATGGTATACTCATCTTTCTAAAACGCTAATTAAAATGGGATTCAGAAAAGTGGACTTCGACCCTTGTGTTTTCATTCACAAAGCAGCGGAAGTTGTCATCGCCATCTACGTAGACGATATACTTATCTTCTACTGGTTTGTTAAACTCAAGAACCACGTCAGCCTCCAACTCCACGCAGAATTCGAAAAGACGGAAACTGTCACAGCCAACTGGGCACTTGGAATCCACTTGATCCACACTAAGACCGGCATGATCCTATCACAGAAAGTCTATTTCAAGTGTGTACTTATCAAATACGGTTTCGATGAATCTAGACCTGTTGCTACACCTATCGACAACAATATTCACCTACAAAAGGGAACAGAAGTGGAGAAAAATTGACCTACAACAATCTATCAGTCCATAATCGGTTCATTAATATATGCAGTAATCGGTACCAGACCGAACCTCGCTTACCCTGTCAATATGCTCTCGCAATTATTTTCCTGCCCCACTGAAGCTCACCTGGGAGCAGTCCATCGCGTCCTTCGTTACCTAAAGGGTACCCTCGATTGGTCACTCGTATATGCAAAAACGCCTCCAACTGCTCTCAAGGGGGCGAGTAACGAGTATTCCGTAGGGTACGAAGGGGGTAGTAGAGGTCGGTTTGGGAATTCACAATGGGGTCCCGAGGGACTCTAGGGTCGGTAAGGGTCAACGAGACAAGGGGGCAGCGAAGCGGTGATCTTCTCGAGTAAAGAAGAGGAAGATAATATTGTATAGAAAAAGACAGTGTAGGTATAGAAGACATTGCGTAGTAAAGAAAGAAAAGAAAGAGAACAAGAAACGAGAAAGAAACCTCCTAATATACTCAAGGAAATCTCAGTGATGACAAATCCAAAGTGACTCATACGCTTACAACCCACAGAACCCGATAGAACCCAATGGAACCTTTCTGACTAATCCAACTCCTCGTAACCCAGTGTATTAACTAATTAATCCATGAAACTGTACTCATCGGCTTTAGTGACGCAAGCTATGCCTCTGACATCGACGACCGCCGCTCTTTTACCGGCCACTGCTTTATGCTAGGGGAAGCTCTCATCTCCTGGCGCTCTTATAAGCAGCGCTCCGTCGCTACCTCTACCACCGAGGCAGAATACATGGCTCTTTCGGATACCAGTCGACAAATGATATGGTTAAGGAATGCGATACACGAGTTGGAACGGAAACCGAAACTTTCTTTTATTCTTCGTGGTGATAATAATGGTTCTTTGTCATTGGTTAAAACTCCTGTCTTTCATAAAAGGTATAAACATATTGATGTGCATTTTCATTTTGTTCGGGAACGATACGAGGATAAATTGTTTGAGTTGGAATATATCTCTACAAACGAAAACGTGCCGGATTTACTTCCAAAGGGATTGGATAAGGGTAAGCATGTTTTATTTTCTTCTACTATTCACTGTGGTTCACGAGGGGAAGTCTTGAAATAGTACGTTCAGCACATTTCATAGTATTGGAGAATTCTCATTTGTCATCATGATTCACGAGTTCTGACTCATTTTCCTCTGGGATTTATTAGTCATGTCTTTCTATCCCTCATACGACTATGATTCATTATGTTTTGTGTTACCTTTCTTTGGTATAAATATGGGGCATTCCCCCCTCTAGTTAGTTGGAATAAGACGCTCAATTACTATACTTCTCTACAAACATTTTCTCTAATTCCATGATCCGGAGAGTGCATTCCCTCGTTGAAACGACCAAGGCATACGGACTCTTCAGCACGAGTGTCCACTTCACTAGATAAACAGGTACATCGTGTTAAGCATGATGTTATCGTTTTGAATCCGAGCTACTGTTTAGCTTACAGAGGTTGGTAAAATTATTGCGAAAATAGGGGTAAGTAAGTGCGCTAAAAAAAGCCTAGCGAGTATCAAATTTTGAGTGGCGAGTGGTGAATTTTCTACAGTACAGTTTCTAACAAGAGTTCTAGCAACGAACACCTGGTTCCTACAACGAACGCCTGAAGCAACGATCACTTGTTCCAGACGATGAACCTCTACCTTCAAGTTACCACCTGGTATGACTCCCATTGGCAGCAATGACTGCCTCTATCTGCTGTAGCATATTGTTGATACATTTGATGATGTCCTGCTCAGTAATAAGATCCCATTCCTCAAGTATTGCCTCTCTAATCTCTGCTCTTCCTCTAGGTCTCGGTCTTCTATCATGCAGGCGCATTTTGAGAATACTCTAGATATTCTCAATTGAATTAAGATCAAGAGATAAGACAGGCCAATTAGGAGACAGCATTCCAAATTGATTTCTGATATTCTGTATATAATAAGTAAATATTCATTAACAATCCGCTGAAAGGTCCAACCTGCATGCTGAAGAGCTTACACATAACATCTCTTACTGTAACTGAAATCCTCTGTACGAATAGACATCATTGCGAACAGCTGAGGGAATCAATACAGGCAAGAAGACATAGGTGAACTGATTGCTTTTTAAATCTCTATTATTATTCTATATACTATAACACGACAAAAAAAATTTTCTCTCCGTAAACCATTGAGGTCCTCTACCCACCAATTACAGCACTCTCCACCTTCCAGCCGTACAGCACTCGCTAAACCCCTGTTTTTGCAATAATTTTACCAACCTCCGTACAATTCTCGGAGTTTGCATATTACATATTTTGGTGGCTAGCTGAGGCCACTATTAAGACCGACCTAGGGTTGGGTTATTTCATGAGAGGACCTTGGTAATTGGGAAGTATAGGTTGGAAGTCACAAGCGGGAATCTCTATGGTGAGTGATATTGCCAAGTCATTAGAAAATAAGATGGTTACATTACCGGTTTTGGAGGTGAAAAGTAAGGCCTGAAAGAGGCTTATACATGTTTATATAAGCCTAAATTAATCATTTTATATGATTTATTCCTTTTTTATAGATAAACCTACTGAAAGCAACTATGAGTGGAAAGTCCGATTTTGGAATAAGCCTTATTTGAGATTTTAAGACTTATTTACACCTTATTTCTAGATAAGAACATGTCCTTGGTGGTTAAAAAAGAAAAAAAAGAAATTTGAAAACAGAGCATTGTAGGTACCATATACCGGATGCTACTTCTACCTACAAAGCTATGGGAGAACTGAAATTTGCTTGCTGGAGGTAATATATCAGCAGACTAGCCGGTGAAATGCTAGTAAAATCGGAATCTATAAGTCTTATATCAACCTTATCCATCAAAAAACCTTACTTGATAAATAAGACATATCTGGTATAAAGGCTTAACTTATTTAATAATATTTATATAAATTCAATGTGTATGGAGAGCTAAAGGTGTATATAATCCCTTTATTCGGTGCATGATTACCTAATTATAGCCCTTAGACAGAGAAAATGCTAATACCACCCTTTTTCGACAGATAGGCTTGATATCAGTCTTTTTCTTCTGGGTAACCTTACTACAAGCCTTGAATTTTTACCCCCGTTGCTGGTAAAGTACATTCACGATTTCGAGTGTTATGAGTTGAAAGCAGACGCAGAACCTCAAGGTCATAATAACATTTCCAATTCTGAAAGATTAATGAATTATCAATCAACCATTTCCGATCTTAATGTGTTAAACAAAAAAAAAATTGATTTCCGATCACGAATCCCTGCTGTGCGAGTGATATTATATGACTCATCCCTCGGTCATGGGCCATCACTCGCCGCCCGAGTGAGAACGTGTGATCTCGCGATGGAGTGTGAAAAACGGCGCTTATTTCCTTATATCGACCTAGAGTATTAAACTGCGTACTCCGAGTAGGTTTCTCGAGATACAGTGAACTAATTCGCTGTCTGGTAATCGATTAGATGGCCATTGACGATTAGCTTGGCACGCCGCTCGCGGTGCGAACACCTTCAGACGCGATAGCCGCGTATATAATGGTGAGTTGGGTAATAAAGCTACGTATTAAATCCTCGGACTTACATTCATCAGCGCCCTCAGCGTATCACGAGGCCGCAAGGGCGCTCCTGCCAGGTACACATATTAGATTGGTTACTTGCAGTTACCGAGTCTTAGAACGCCCCTCGCACCCAGCAATCACTCACAAATGCTCTTTTTGGGGACACTTACCAGGTATGATCTTGGTTCACATATGATGGCAGCTCGAGACCCACCATCTCATTAGTGTTCCAGAGGGCTTTCTTCGTTCAACACCTCCTTAGCGGAAGGTATATTCCACGCTCAAGCATCCACAGTAACCCCAGATGCGTGGTCGGGTAGCGAAGGTGGTAGTGTTTGACTTCGATATGAAATCGCTGCCTCGCTGGCGAAGCCTACCTACACTATGAGGAGATACGTGCGGACGCCTAATTAAACGGTTACGAACGCTGAGTGTTCAGCCACGGAGAACGTATATCAGCGCTGAACAACGGCTGTACGATCATCCCCGCGACACGTTGAGGAGATTCACTGTGTTGTATCATTGGACCGGGCTAAAATGTGCGATTTCTATTATGACCATACTAAGACGAGAGTGGCGAGTGATATCTTATGAAATGATTGTGTGGTGCGGGCTATGCTCGGTTATTGGGCCCGGCTGGTGTCTTTTGTCATACAGTCTAGGTATCGGCCGCGGCATATGAAAGACGACAGAGTTCTTGTCCACTTGAGATGAAAACATTGCCTGAGTACCATGCATTACACCTGACCCACGCCAAGCCGCCAAGACGCAAGGAGTGGTGGTTGGTTCACACCCCAGGTACACAGAGGTCAGATCTCGGATATACTTCTTACGCCGGGCCATGTAAAATGGTATCGTCGGCGTTTCTTACAAGGGTAACGATCCTAGCGGAGGTATCCCCTTACCACACCAAGACTACGTTTTGGTGTTAAGCGGAACATTAGTCGTAGGCAAGAAACGACGCACCCAGAGCGAAGTTATTGGTGTCAGGTGATACCTGATGTGTCGTCATCACATGGTAAGGAGAAATATCGTTAATTCCTTAACCAATTGTGAGTAAATGGCCACTGGAGGTAACGTTCGTAAGGCAGTCCGCGTCGACAGGGGAGGAGATATTTGCAGGGTGTACGCTCGCTTAGTTCTCCTACCAGCCCGCACCACCCGCCCCGGCGTCAACTAGAGAATGCTCGAAATCAGATACCCTAGATATGGTGAGCATTATCACGGAGAAGCTGTGGGGAGGTTCGCGGGGGTGTTGGCTGCGCAGGAGATTACCACGATTATAGCCGGTGTCCTCACGTGCTGGGAAAGAGTTCCGGTCCTTGACTTTTTCTCGAACTACACCACCAATCCCCACCAGCCGCTCCTCTTGCGCCACCATTTCCAACAAGAACGGCGATCATGGGAGATCACTCGCACCACTTAGTGGGTCATG